ATCTTCTTTGGAAACATGTATGATATCTCCATCTACTCCTCTTACGAAACCATTCTCATCTCTGTAGACACCATATTCGTCTTTCTTTTCCCAGAAGAATTGACGAATCCTGGATTTGAAAGCTCGTTTCCCAAATTCCCGACGTATATCGGTTGATGTGAGTCTCCACGTATCGATCGATGTTTGTTGAAATTCTGGATATGCTGAGTTGGTCATCTGAAGAATGTCTGCAATGTCTTCTTTGGAGATTAGAATGATTCTTCCATCCATTGCTCGTGCATGGCCATCTGGATCCCTGAAAATACAAAATTCATCTGGAGTTAGTAAGGTAAAACTGAAGTTATGTGTTTGTACCTCGGATGGTGTAGTGGTATGATCGGTCGATAGTACGGCATGTGCATCGGTCGGTTGGTTGAGGAAGCTGTGGATCGATGGATGTTGTTCCATGTCAGTCGATACGACTGTTTCTGGTTTGGTCGCATGCATCAGTGGTGCTGTATCCACTGCGAAACTCTCGTGGTAATTGGTTGCCAAACTTCCAATTGAGTAGTCTATGTCTTGTGTATCATCATCATGTGGGATGTAGATTTGTACACAGTAGGGGTTGTCGGTCGTTGCTTCGAAACGTCTTTTGAGCGATCTTAGTTGGTGCATATCGGTCGATGGGGGTGGTAGTCTCTGTTGATCGATGCTCTGAAGATGAGGTCGGTAGAGGAGACTTTTCTTCATCTTCCCGAAGAAATCTGTACTTTGTTGCTCGTTCCTCTTCATAAATTTCATCATACTCCTCTTGAGTAGTGATGCTAGCCAGCTCTAAGATGTAATGATCGTTCGTCCAATCATCTTCGTGAAAGTCGCCGTCTGGAAACTCCTCTTCGATCTCTTGGAATAACCTGTCGATCGATGACCGGGTATGCTCGTCGGTCAACTCCGGTTGATTGGTATCGGTCGATGGAATAAGGCTTCCGTCGGTCGATACGTCTTGCTCTGTTTCGTTCTCGGCCATTAAATCATACTCGTGGGCACAGAAGCAAGTTGCTACGAGTGCTGGGCTCTCTGTCCTTGGAATCTTGATGACTTGGACCGGATTGTAGTGGATGGTAGGGTCAATTAGGGTTAGGCAGAGCTTATTGGATTCCAGATCACAAACAGCTCCAACTGTTGCTAAGAAGGCCCTTCCAAGCAGTAGAGATGTCTTGAAGTTGAGCTTGTTCTCCATGACGTGGAAGTCTGTAGGAATTAAGGCATCTCCAATCTGTACTTCAAGGTTTCGAACTATGCCTCCAGAGTTCTGCTGAGAACAATCCACGAAGATGAAAGATTCTTCAGTAGGCTTTATCTTCAGACCTAGATGGTTTGCCATGATCTTGGGTAGGATGCTAACTCCAGATCCTGTGTCACAGAGAGAACGAGGGAACTCAACACCTCTTATTGAACATGGTATTGTGAACTTCCCTGGATCGCTCTTCTTCTCCAAGGTGATCTTCTTCTTTAGATTGTCTCTGACTTGGTGAAACATTCTCTTGATGTCTTCTTCTGTCTCCTTGTTTTCTCTGAAAAACATCCACAATCCCTTCTTCAAAGGGTTTCTTACTTGACAATTATTTCTCATTAGCTTCCCTTTTATAAGGTGTGGGAATCTTCTCTTTCCTTTTTCTCAGAACTTTTCCATGATTTTCCTTTTCTATCTCCATGGGCTCAAAGATGTCAGCTTTTGTTCTCTTCGATTGTTGCATGCGTGCTCAGAACTACCATCACCTTCTTTGATGCGATATCCACCAATGGCTTCACTGCTTTTGTGGTGACCTCTCTCTTCTTACTCTTATTAAGCGTTAAGCGTTTATAAGTGGCGGAATCGAGCCGCATGCTCCGATTAACTTTTAATTTTCTATAGTGCTTGACATAGCAATATACACATCCTGAGTTAAAATCTTTGTTTCTGTTTTAGAAAAAGAGGTTTTAGAGATAGAGAATGTGTTGTGTGAGAAATTGAAAAAGGCAGAAAAAGAACGAAGAAGAAGACTCGTGAAGAAGGAGATGAAAAGATTAGGGATTTTGATTTTTTTTTTAATTTACTTATTATTAAATTGATGAGATCCGTATTGGGTATGAGTTTGGGTGGATAATCCGATTTGAGTTTGTAATTTATTAAATTCATTAAGGGTTGTTAGAGCCCCCGCAACCACGTGTCCTTAGGGAAATCCTTAGGGAATATTAATTTTATAATCAGTAGGTCCCATGAACAGTTAAGGATTCTATCCTTAAAATCATTATTTAAGGATTGATCCTTACACTATTCACGGGCTCCACTGTCCATGTGGCGGCCCGTGAATGGTCAATTTTTTTCTTTTAAGAAAAAAATCTGAAATATCCTTATATAATCCGAAATGCCCTTTTTTCTTTTTCCCTAAGGATTTTTCCTAAGGACCATTGTTGCGGTTGCTCTAATGTCTTTTTCAGTGTTTTCAATTTAAATATAACTAGATAATAACCCGCGCAAATGCGCGGGGTGAAACTTTCATACTAATATTTACTAGTTGCATATTCCCCGCGCAAGCGCGGAGCCGGGATCATTATGTTTGCGTGTATTTTTTTCGATTGTTGGTTTAGTGGATTCTTCTAATGACACCAATTAATAATGAAATGGAAAATTTCATGTTTTTATATCGTCTGTCAAAACTTGATATAATTCTATATTTATAGTATTTATATTTGTATTAAACGATTTATCAATATGAAAATAACTTAATTAAGTTAATATTCGTTGTTTAAGTTTCATTAGATAGGTTTTTATATATGGTTTTTTTTGTAAGTTTCGGTTTTGTTCATAAATGATGTGGCATTTTTATCTACGGAGTCATCGACTGTGGGAATTCATTCGCCGAAATTTGGAGTCGGTGGTGAGAAATGTTTTCAATGAAATTATAGTAGTTATTAAAATGTAAGAGAAATTACATATTCATTTAATAAATAACTTACTTAAATTTTGTTGTTTATTTTATTTTATTTCACATACAATTTGTTTTGAAAAATATTAGGAATGTGTTAAATGTTATTTATATGCGAAGTAAGGTTTATAGGAATAGTTAGGCTATAATATAGTTTTTAGTGTGTAAAAGTAGGTGTATTTTTTTTGCTGTAAATAGTTTTTATATCGTAGATCAAAACTTGATATAATTCTATATTTATAGTATTTATATTTGTATTAAACGATTTATCAATTTGAAAATAACCT